TATCAGTTTGGTAGTTTTCAAAAAAACTAAGTATCTAGCTGATGGACATAGTAACTGCGTATCTATATGGGGATCTTGATACGGAAATTTATATGAAAGTTTCTGAAGAACTTACATTGACTGGATCAAATATTTCCAAACCCTGGAACACGCTCTCAATCCGGCTAAGGCGTTCACTCTATGGTTTGAAGCAATCCGGAAGAATGTGGTATAACTGCCTGAGTGAGTATTTGACTAGTCAAGGATATGTGGACAATGAACTATGCCCTTGTGTGTTCATTAAGAAGTCACATTCTGGTTTTGCGATTGTTGCAATATATGTCGATGACATGAACCTCATTGGACTCCTAAAGAGCTCGCGAGAACTGTTGTGCACCTGAAGTAGGAATCTGAGATGAAAGAACTAGGAAAGACTCGATATTGTCTCGGTCTTGAGAAAGAGCACCGTTCGGATGGAATCTTAGTACATCCAACGAACTACACCCATAAGGTGTTGTGCCGCTTTAACGAGGATAAAGCGAAGCCTTCAAGTAGTTATATGGTCATTCGATCGTTAGATGCAAAACGAGATTCCTTCCATCCGAAGGAGGATGATGAAGAGATTTTGGAGCCTGAAGTTCCTTATCTAAGTGCGATAGGCGCTTTATTGTACTTAGCTCAATGTACTAGACTCAACATCTTTTTCCCTAAGATATAGTAATGCACCAATACGCAGACATTAGACTAGTGTTAAAGACATTTTCCATTACTTTAAGGGTACTACAAATTTGGGCTTGTTCTACCCCTACGAATCCTCGAGTGATGTCGCACCCCTTTATCTCGAGTCGATTCTCACCTTGTTGGTTATGCTGACGCAGGATACTTATCTGATCCGCATAAGGCACACTCTCAAATGGGTTATGTCTTTACCATTGGACACACCGCAATCTCTTGGAGGTCAACTAAACAGAACTTAGTTTCCATTTCATCTAACCATGCTGAAATTCTTGCCTTACATGAAGCAACTCAGAAATGCTTTTGGTTGAGAGCAGTTGTGCGCCATATTCAAACCTCCTACGATCTTTACCCCGTCGTTGATATCCGGATGACAATCTATGAAGACAATGCATAATACATCGAACAGCTCAAGAAGGGTTACATCAAATGAGACAACATCAAGCACATTGCGCCAAAGTTCTTCTTCTCATATCAATAACAACAGCATCAGAAGATTGAAGTCACGTAAATCCGTTCACAAGACAATCTGGTCGACCTCTTCACCAAATCATTATCGAGGCGACGTTTAAGAAGTTTGTTCAAGGAATTGGTATGCATAAACTTTTTGAGTTGTAACATTGCTAGTTCTCTTTGGAATTTTGTCAAACTCAAAGGGAGTATCCTAAAATATACTTGCTTGATCTTAATGTACTCTTTTTCCCTACGATTAGGAGCATTTTTCCTACAGGATTTTTGCTACCTAACTAGGTTTTAATGAGGCACCCACCTTAGGTTGATCATATCCCTGATGACGTCCCGTAGACATTTCATTTGACTTTGCATTACTCACACATTTTTCCTTAGACTATGGATTATGTCCCTACTCGGGTTTTTACCATAGCCTTAGGGTTTTTTGTGAGACTTATTTCCTTATGCAAGTTCCTACCTTATTGAGAATAGCGTGTTCCCACAATCAGTGTCGATGAGTTGACTTCCTCAACCTCTACATGATGCCGAATCTACTTGAGTATTTACACACTCAAGAGGGTGTTAACCACATTATAAAAGATGAAGAATTGGTACACATGAAGATAATAGAGAGAAACAAGATAGATTATATTGATTGATTGGAGAAAATGTATACAACTGAACTTAAGAAAATGATAGTTATACAATCCCTTATATAGCCATATTTCCCAATTACAATAATACCCTTCTAACTATATTAACAAACTCAATAACTAGAATAATGCCATGTGGTGGCATTTCTGTTATATCAGTTATTACTCCCCCCTCAAATTAAACTTGGAGTATCTAAGTGAAGTTTGAACTCGCCAGGTATTTAAGATTGATCTGGAACTACGAGACTAAGATGTCTACAATGCTTCAAGAACATTGGACTGTGCAATCCTTTTGTAAATACATTTGCAATTATTGTTATGAAGCTAAACACTGTAGAAACCCCTAAACCCCTGTCTCTTGCAGTTTGGAGCAGTGTATGATAGTCTGGAGTTGTTGACATTAATGAGCAGGAAATAGTGCTTCACTCAGCATGCTTCCTTGGCCGAAACTTGCAATTTGGCCCTCAGTTCCACTAGATGGTTCATCTGAGGTGCTGGCAAAACAAAAGATAATTCTACAATCAACTCTATCAGTAAAGCACTTTGGTATTAAGAAAAAACCATTGCCTTTTGAACCTTCTTTACTATTACACGAGGCTAATCGGATGTGAGCTTCCCTTTCTGCTGGGAATATGGTTGAAATGTTTGATGGCCGCCAAAATTTTAGTGACGGTTCAGGTTCAGATGCATCATTTAAGATGCCATCATTACAAAAAGTGCAAGCAAGTGTTATGTCACGTAGTAACTCTTCACCAGGAATTTTTTAGAGCTCAATTGATTAACCCATGAGGCTTGCTGAAATTTATGTTGCTGCTAAATATGCTCTGCACACTACAGTTTCTAATCCTAATCTGTTGAAGTCTTTATCATCTACAGAGAAGTTTAAGCAAAAATATCTTGAACTAACTAAAGGTGCTGCTGACAATTATCATCAATCCTGGTGGAAAAGACATGGATGCTGATGCTGTAAACAAGAAAGCACCCACAAAACCTATCACCAAATCGTCTAGCTTTCCCAAAGCCCTGAATCAAACAAGTGCACCCCATGACACCTTTGTAACTGCTGACCAACAGATTACTGAGAGCTTTTGTAGCTTCTTGAAGAGTTGAGACACAAACCAAAACCTCTACTAACTCTATTATCATCACACAAGACTACAACTTTAGCTATTGGTGAAACCATGATGAAAGACACAAGTACAATCCAGAAATCAAAACAAATGAATTTTTCTAGGCAGCAAGAGAATGACACTCTTGACACAAATGCTAAGGCAACAAGAGAATGACACCCTTGACAAATTCTAAGGCAACAAGAGAATGATACTCTTGGCAAATTCTATGGAATCAAAGAAAGAATGATACTTACTTAACCATCAAGAAAGAATGACACTTTCTTGAAATCTCGTAATCCAACCAAATCACTGAATGAAATAGTAGTTTATCTTAGACAATTCATCCAAAAAACAACAAAATAAAAAACCCAATTTTCAACATAAACCCAAATTGGCAAGATCACTCCACACCAGAGACTAGAACACGAATCATATGTCTTCACCAACTTCACAAAACAACTTGAGCTGTGCAAATATACACAACGCATATGGGAAAGAATAACCCTCAGTAGAGCCAACATGCATTGAAGTAGGAGATGTGTTGATTATATGTGACCCTAGTAATTTGAGTTCAAATCAAATGTACCACTAGTTTCAGTATCAACATATACAATTTCAGCAGCAATTACAACAGAAGCAATTACAACAAGCAGCGAAGCAGGTGCAATCACAGCTCCAAGCTAAATATCCCAAATATCACAAACACTGATCTTGAAGCAATGACCAATCTTAAATCCAAATATCACACTAATATCCCAGAAAAGACTCACAACAAAGATGAACAAGCAGAGTGTAAATTCAATATACCACTCTTTGGCTATCGGCCTTACTAATTGACAAAATAGCAAACATTTTCTTACTGAAACATTTAATCAAACATATTATGTGCATTGTGAAAACTAGAAATCAAGAACCTGATGAGAACTTCAATCTTGAGCCAAAGAACACAGAGGAAGCAAACCAGAAACCTTGGCAAATCAATCTACCGACTAGCAGCAACCATGGCTTTTCTTTCTTGCTCACACACACTGAGAAATCCAAGACTGGGCATAACCCGAGTGAGAAATGGCGGTGGGTTTGTCTCAAAACGCCGCAGTTTGGATTCGCTCGAGGACCCACGAAGATAGTCTGGTCAGGCACCCATTGGTCTCCACAAAGACGACAACCCAGAAGACGGATTTTGACAAAACATCAATTCCTGAGGACAATTTTACCGACGAAGCAGCACAAGATTTTGTGAACTCCATAAGATGGATGGCGGATACCCGGATGAAAGATTTGGCACACGAGAAGAACAGAACTGCCCGAGAGCAAGGCAGCTCAAAATTAGAGCTTGCCCAATACGAAGCTCTTCACAGAGGAAGAAATCTTCAAACCAGAAAAATCAACCCAACAATCGTAACAATTGCGATCCCAACATTCACAGAAAAATCAACCCAAGAACAATCGCAGAAGCACCGAAAATCTAATGGAAATTTTCCGGTACGATGAGTTAAGATTGTACTGTTGAGTTACGGGACCACAAATTCTTCGTTTCCTGTTAAAGAGATGGACATCCAACGTGATGCATCGTCCCTACTTGGCATGTATGACATGTACGGAGCTTACATAATCAAAACAAGGGAAGATCTATTCCTTGTCGCAAGGATTTCTTATTGCAACATTTGCCGTGTTTATAAGCTCCATTATTCGACAGAAGATGGTAGATGCGGATGGATAAAGGGGAAATTGATGGGAAATCTCGCTCTCTTTTGGGTGCGAGTCAGTCCAGAGTAAAGTGCTCTCTCCTGGATGGGAACTCAATTTACTTCACGGAGATCGGCTTCCATGTCCGGAAGAAGAAAGACTTCCGACAGAGCCATTTTCTTCTTCATTTAGGTGCGCATAGTTTGACAAGCAAACGAGCGGAACAAGTTTGTGCTCTTCCAACGGTGGGTAAAGCTGGTAAAACAGTAAAGGGAAGTGATTCACCTACACCCATTTTCTCCTTTCCGGCAAGTGCAAAACGCGAAAACAGGAATGGAATGGAAAACATCAAGTAAAAATAAAACGAAAGGAATGGAAAACAATAATTTAGAAAAACTTTGCTCTGCTTTTTTTTTTCCTTTTTTTTACAGTTAAGGCCAACATACAAGGGCCTAAAAACACAATGCCTTGTTCAAGACAGAGAAAAAGAGAATCAATTACATTCCTAACAACGTCCAACGGAACCAAACACGCGTATACAACAACACGGTTTTTCGCTCCCAACTTATCTGTTCCCTTGTTAAATTAAATTCCCTAGTAATTTGAACAACATATACTCTAAAAATACAATAAAGAAAAATTACAAAGCTGTATTTTTCGATTCTGAATGGAGAATTTCACAGGCATTTGACTGAAGAAGCAACAGTCAGGTACAGGGTTAACTGTTATACGTAAACAAATTCTGCGTAATTCAGGCCCAATGTTCAGCTTCACGGATACACCGTGATTTCATCCTGAAAGCAAAACATAGGGCCATTATAAGTTTCTTCCCCCAAGAAACCGGAGCCATCAGAATGTAAACTAACATCCTAGACCTTATTTCTTAAAGCCATAGCGTATAAACCTACAAGTGTATTCAATCTATGCCCGTCCTATTCAATCCATGCGCCTCCTATAATTTTTATTTACAACTAAAAAGGAGGAATCCATACTCAAGAAAAACCTCAACCCACCACCAAAACCTCTAGAAAATAAGTGTAATATTAAAGGCGTCATACTCTGAACGTTGTCCATCCTACACATTGGTGCTGGAAGTAAAATTAATTTGACGAAATCTAAAAGCAATAGATCTTCAAAAAGAGAAACAGACCTGCTAAGCTGAGTGGTTCGTCCCACAAGTGGAAAATGATGGCTAGTTCCTAGCATTCCAAGGCATATGTCGGGACCTACAAAAATAGACACTGGTAATATCAGGAGAATGAACAGCTAAGAAAAGTAATTAAACATGTAAAGGATGAACACTTTGATTTTGCAGCAATTTAAAAACCAAACATGAAGGAAAGGCATAATTGCATCCAAAAATAAAGAACAACAAACAAATAAACCCTCCAATTGGGTCATGTTGTACCTCAAGCATGTTTTCATCAAGAAAAGCAGATGTTGTCTGATTCATGCAATGAGAACTATCATATTGGAGGATCCTTAACTTCCCTTCCTGCATTTCACAACATGAAAACACTATGAGTTGTGGAAACTGGGGGAGGAACCAAACAAGCAAAAGAAGCTTACGGAAACGGAATTGATTACCTTGGTTCCATAGACAAGGCCACCTCCAACTGAAGGATGAAAGGAAGCTACGTTGACCTCATCCTCTGCACTAGGAAGAACTCTCACAAGTTCCATATCAGAAACTCTGTAGACCTGAATAACAACTAAAAATGTTACATGAACGCTCATAATAGTGGACAACCAAAAGCAACTGGTAACACATGAAAGTTTATATCATGCACAGTTGAACCACAAGGCACAACTATGGTCAAATTTATAAGAAAGTTGATATAAAATCTACTTCATACACGTGTTCAGCTGCAAATGACTTTTAGTTTGCACCAAATTCAATTATTCCACTCTAAGATTAGTCGCAACATGAAAATTTCATATCCTTGTCATTACTTATTAGAAGCAGATTAAATATTACATAAGTTTCTAGATGTTACTTTACAGATTGATTGAAACACCCAATGTTAATAAGACACAGATTTGAAACAAAAATAAAAGATACTTTAATATTTAAAAATTAAAACTAAAATGAAGAGGGAGGGACGGAAGAGAACTAAAAAATCTTACCTCCAGAATGGTGTAAATAGGCACTGTTGTCTCTCCATCAATGACAACACTCTTAAGAAGTGAACTGTGACGACGGCCATAGGCAAGTAATATATGCTCTGACGTAGGAGAGAACTGCCACAGTAAATCAAGGAATAACAAAATGGAATAAGTGTGACGAAAGTACAAATTCTTTGCTTGATCTAAAAGAAATATAAAGGAAAAAATAAAACTTCAAATTATTAGGTCACGAATCTTTTGCTTATAAATGAGACAACTATTAGAGTTCGGAGATCTATTCAACCTAAGGACCATTGACAGGTGAAACTGAGAATACTTAGGCAACAAAGGCAGTCACTTAATAGAATGTCCATAACCAGATGGCATGCATGAAAAAGTTACATATAAGGGAATGTATGTAACTCAGACGTATGTGTGTGTCTCTGTGTGAGAGTTACTGTTACAAACAGGTAAACACAACTACAGAACCCCAGAGATTCATGTGGAATAGAACAAAGCTAAGTACCAGAAGCCCGCTAAAATACAATATACACATCTTTTAATTTGTGTAGTTGAGCAGTCAGGTGGGTATGTGCTGAGGATACATAACTTAAAATATTATCTAAATAATAAAAACCTAATGTCTTTATGATCTGCCACTAAGTCCACCCATAGACCGCTGCCATAATGATAGTGCATACAGTGTCCAAGTCTTCACTCATTTATATACCTTCTTCTATATCAATTTATTGATTATTTGTTTTAATCATAACGGCATTGCATTGCACATCTAGGTCATATACCAATCACCTGTTGGATTGAATATTGAAACAACACGATCACACATCAACAATATAAGGCAATCCTAACAGATTCTCCCTACATAAAACATACCTATATATGTATGTGTTTATATACTGCTACATAACAAGACTATGCTTCAACTTTAGATTTTCTGATGGCAAATGCCTAATAAAAAATATACGTAAATGTAATTCATTACATTCTACGAACATAATAGATATCTCCTTATCATAACTCCAGAGTATCTAACTCAAACTAAAGCTAGGCTGAGCATTGACATGAGTCGTTGAGCTCTTATGATGAGATTTCAAGGGATGCACTCCATACAGGGCTGCTAATCATAGTTTTCAGTTAAAATGAAACATTTTCCGTTAAAGATTTGCTTTAGTCTTAGGGAAAAAAGTTAAATAAGTAAAGAATTGTCTGAAAATCAATGAGAAACTAATGATCAAGGTGACCCAATAAGTCATACATCTTCAAAATTAAGCTGACCTGAATAGATGTTAAGCAGTGGGCAGCTCTTATTGCCCGGGATGCAAGAACCATTCCAAATCTAGATAGATAAAAGAAAATCAGGTTGTAAAAAGAAGGAAAATGCAAATGGAAAGCTAAAAGAGAGGTATGAAAATGCAACACAGATTATAGGGAGTTAAAGCTTTACGTTGCTTCCTCAAGGGAATATATCCGGAGCTCATACACAACATGGTGTGCTGAAATTGGATGTCGAGTTGGGGACGTTGATGCCCCTGTCGCGTCATGGTTGACCTGGCTCTGCAATCCAGGATCAGCTTCCATATGGGGCAACATACATGCAACACAAGCAGCTAAAAACCTTCCGCAAGGGGAAAAATGGGCACCCATCTCACTGCAACAAATTATCAAGTAAAAATCCAAAAAGATACAGCCAGTAATACTATTAAAGTTCAAACAATCATGCAATACTGAAAGAGAATAAAAGAACAAAAGCCAACATTTCATGATCATCTACTAATCAAATATTTCTTTGCAAAAGGTGTAAATCCAGTAAAAACATACTACCTTCGACAAAAAAAAAACAAATGTAAAAACAAACTACCAACTGATGTTGCATCCTTTATCAATGTACTGGTTTTGCAAGACTTACGAATAAGCTAAAGGCAATGTCAAAATTTATAGAACAACAAAGTACCATGAACGTTGAAAACAGAAAGAAAATTACCTACAAAGTACAGCATGTGGAATGGTTAAGCGACATCTTTCTGCATCAAGGGGAGAACAAGGACTTTTCAAATCATGTGGCCAAATTCTGAGCTTTACAGTGCAAGGCAACTCTGCAGCTGCTGCTGCAGCAAGTGAGTTGGCAAGTTCAGATTGGATTCTACTCACAACTGGTTGAGGCTCACTTTCAGCATGCGCAAAACTATAGAATCCAGCAACTTCATTAGATCCAATTGTCGACACCATATGAGTTCGTGAAGTACGATGCCGGGAACTAGATCTTCCAGTAAGCCTGGATTGGCTCACACTGGTTGGTATTACCGAGGAAGTTATGGCTGGATTATCCATCTCACCACGTGCAGATGGATTATCTTGTGTAGCATCACCTACCAGCCGCATATTCCGTTGGCTAGCTTGGGTCTGACCAATTAACCACCCTTGCAAAAAAGGAAGTTCCCAATATGTTGAGTCACCAAATGGGAAAATATGATTGCTCCTCCCTTCAGGTTGCACTTCCAAAGCCTCTAAACTGTCCATTGCAGGTTGAGAAACTTCAGTTTCCATTTCACTCAAGAAAGTATTAGTTTCTGTCTCTTCTGGTGCTGGAGAAGAGCTACTAGGTTCAATTGGGGACAGCAGAAGTTCATACTGCCCTGAAGGAGTTGAATATGTTAGCAACCGCACTGAAGCAGAAGGATCAACTCTCTGTTGCACACTACTTGAACCAATGTCTGCATCACTACGCTGCATAGATATTCTCCCATTATCTCTAGCAAATGAAGGCCATATCAGAAATGGTAAAGACATAAGAGGTAGTCCATCTTCCAAACTGGAACGATCACTAGATTGACCATCTGCCAAATATACAGTAGGTGGAGGATAGCGCAAATAACCCGGAGAAGTTGCAAGTGTCATCGAGGAATCTGAGGAGTCCATGTCATTGACCTACAAATAAGAAAAATACATGATTCAAATATATTTAATAAAAGAAAACGATTAATATTTCTACCAAACAAACAAAAAAATGACTAACCAAAAATTTACCTCAGCAGTTAAAAGGAAAGGAGCTCCATGCGGGTGAAAATGCACAGCCCGGAGCGAACGTCGTGTCTTCAGTACTATGCTTGGTGAGGATGTCTCCCCTCTCCCATTGTAGTGCCATATGTACAACTAATGCAAGATTTAAAGGTTAAGGCCATTAATAAGAGATAAGCATGATTAGTTAAAATTTCCAAATAAAAAATCTTACCTTATGACCTGACGCAACAGCGAGCAGCTCACCTTGGGCATGGAAAGCTATGGATGCAATGGGACGCACTGTGTGGAGAAAAAAGCACTAACAATCATATCCATGACACAAACTTAATGAAAAAAAGAATAAATTGTTTGTTTTAATGATTGATAATCAACACAAAAACTTACAAAAATCACGAGATCCTATACACTCTGCCGTGTTTGCATCCCACAAGCGAACTTCATGATCCAAACTTCCACTAGCCAATATGTCTGGATACAAAGGATGAAATCTAACCTGCAAAAGCACAACCAGCTAGTGAGAAATGCACAGCAAGCTAATGAGATGTACCGAGTAGCTATGCTGAAGTGTCAGATCTGGTAACCAGTAATTTTGTTGATGAATAAAACAACTAGATTAAAGTGGCAACATCCAATAAAAAAAGATTAGGATAAAGCAACCCAAAGACTTTTGATGAGAGCATAAAACTTCTTGCAGAGAGAATTTTAGCATTATAAGCATAGATGGTATCCTTTGGGAGCAGCCTCTCCATAAAATGGGGGTAAGGCTAGCCGACATTCACCTCTCCCAGACCCTGCGTAAAGCGGGAGCCTTGTGCACTGGGTACGACAAGCATAGATGGTATCCTATATTTCTTAGCAAAAGAATATGGATGAAAAAGAAGCTTTAATGTTTCACCAAATCTCTCGCTGTTCTGTTTAAAAAATTGTTCACAACATCTTGCAGCAAGCTGAATCAAGAAGCTAACATTCAACTTCAAGTACTTGAACAAAAACAAAAGAAATTCAGAATCAAACATCCAGTGTTGTAGACTTACCACCCATGGTGTCCTACGGTGACCACTCAAGACCTTTAAGCAGATCCCAGTTCGGCAATCAATAATCTTTACAGTATGGTCTCCGCTGCAATTACAGTTGCAATTGAAACTTAATAAATGATACACTTCTTAGAATAAATATAACTCAACACTAAGCTTTAGGCAAACCCCATACCAGGCCAAGAGATATATATATATATATATATATATATATATATATATGCATAGCAGGACTTACTGAGTTGAAGCTAGTGTCTTTCCATCGGGGCTGAAGGCTGCTGCAATAGTTGACCGTGGAGGAGGCACAAGCGGACAATATTTGGAAGACAAATGCTGGAGTGACTCTGCCTCCACCCTGAAGTCAATCCAATTTCAAGACAGACCATGAATTGAAAGATCAAACCAAATGCAAAATAATTCAGACAACTAGAAAAAACAAAGCAGTATGCTTTTTTTGTTGCAAGAAAATTATGAGAGAGCGACTAAATGAATTGGCAGTTTACCATGAGACAAGGCTGTGCCTAGCATCTCTAGCTGTTTCAAACTTTGGGCCAACAGAATCGGAATTAGACTTCAGAGGTTCCCCCCATAACTTCTTTGACCAATGTTTCGTTTGCGGAGAAACCTCTCTCCGTGCTAACAATCTAAGGACATTGCTAACACTGCCAGTTAACATCAGATACGTGCAAATCAGTTTGAAATCAAGAATTAGTGCCAATTAATATTCCAAACCGATTTTACAAAATCAACACCGAAACCATTTCTCAAGCACGGAAAGTACTTGAAATAACAACAAAAACAAAAACTCGGTACCTCCTCAATCTCCAAAATTGTCTTCCTAAATTCTAACCAATTTCGATAAAAGCTAATCAATCGAAAAACCAAATTCGGATTGAAACTAATTCAATTACGATCACCATGCAAAACCACAAAATTAAAGCATGAATAGATATAATTTGCAAAAGCATTAATCCACAATACAGCAATTTGGTAATTGAATTACACAAAAACTCTTGAATTCCTACCAAAATTCAATAAAAAAGTCCAAGATTCACCTGTGCTTGCACGGATTGGGCTGAGGAACGCGCGGCACAGAGGTGGAAGGAGAATTGGGCTCGTCGGAAGAACCTGCCCTCATAATTTTCACGGGAAAATGTCATAATCTCAGCTTTTCCGGCATTCTAGGGAAATTTCAAATTGATAACTTGAAAATCCAATCGAACTTTACATGAAAATCATCACGCAGTGGAAAGAGTATATTGAATAGAAGTGGGGTTTGAATTGAATTGAGCTGGGGTGCGGATTTGGTGTCGGAGAGCGCGGCGTGGGGTACGGTTGGGGAGGGAGGCGGCGAGATCTCCAGTCGGCGGGGAGGGAAAATTGGGAGGGGAAAGCGTCCGAGTGGCTGCGCGTGTGGCCGTGGAATTTGGATTTGGAAAATTCCGTCTTGGGTTTTTTGTGATGGGCATTGGACAGATGGGGGGGGGGAGAGGAGGGGGGCGCTAGGTGGCTTCAGGACCCTAGGGAGTTGTTCTTTGGACGACAATGCCCTTGTTGTTGTGCCCTCATCTGTTGTGTCGTGGAGTCTCAACGCACGCGTTTTGATCTAAAAGGGGCAAATACAAGATTTAATGTAAATGACCAACATGATCCCAATAAAAGCGTATTTGTAATATTATGTTCAGAAATTTATTATTTGCTTGTTTTACAATTTTAGGAAAAAGCGGTTTCAGGAATATTTTAGTCATTTTAAATTTGTTTGGATACGGGTTTAGAATAGATGGATAGAGCTCTATTCCACATGCATATAAGTGAAATCGTTCGTGAATCAGAGTTAAAACAAAGAAGTTATGAGCATTGAAAGTGAGGGGTATTTTAGTCTTTTGCTACTTACTATAAATAGTAAGATTCCCAATACAACTAGACAGAAGTGCAAAGCCAACCCAACTCACCCACCCAGAACCCAGGCAGAACATACACATGACCTGCGACCTTCGCGATTTTCTAACGCTAATTTTGACCGTCCCCAGCGAAATTGGTCGATCTCACACCAAACTGAAGCTCTTAATTTCATCAACAAAACTCACCCAAGAACCACCCCAATAACTGATGTACGCGTCATTGTGAGGCCGCAAAGTTCTAGGGATTTGAATGTCTTATTCTTTTACCGGCAAATCGGCTAAACTACGACTGACACCACCACCTAAGTTATGTAGCTCATCATCCCAAGAGTAAACCCAACCAACCCTGAACTCATTGAATCACAGTATGCGGCAAATCTACACCGTGAAGTTTACGGCACCCACGGCCTTTACTTGAGAAATTGCTTGTCTTCCGTCCACTTTGGACTTCGTGGCAACTATAATAGTTGTTCTTCGTGTTAAGATATACATGCCTGCGAAAATTTGAAGTTGGTCGGAAGATTGAGTTTTGGTTCACCAAGAACCACTGCGCCTAGCACAATGACATGGATTTTGGATAGAAAAATGTTCTCAATATCCTGAGCCTATATCTAAAATTTGTTGTTGAGATTTGATGTGATGATTTGGTTATTCAATTTTTGAGTTAATTGTATTGTCGCTCGATTTTTGCAATTAACGACAATCTAACATTTGGATCGTCGTGAAATTTGAATAAGATGTTGTGAGGCTCGATGGAACTTAGTTGGCTGATTCAAGGTTCTAAAAAACGTTAGGCACTAGTCGGGCGACGAACTGGGGCCTAGTGCCTATGCTGCTTGTCATATCCACGCCCTCATGGTTTTGTTTCTAGGAACTCACGAGCAACTTCCCAGTGGGTCACCCATCATGGGAGTGCTCTGGCCACCTTTTCGCTTAACTTCGGAGTTCCGACGGAACCCGAAGCCAATGAGCTCCCAAAAGGCCTCATGCTAGGTAGGGATGGGAATATACATATAAAGATCACTCCCCTGGGCGATGTGGGATGTTACAATGCTAGGCGGGGCTTAGGCGGACTAGGCGGATTTATGTAAAATCGTATAAATAAGTGTCTATTTATACTTAAAAAATACATAATTGTACTTAAATACATAAATTGCAAAATAAAATGACACATAAATTATTTTAAGTAAATTTATTTTATATATATATATATATATATATAATATGACTTGTGCGCAAAAGTTTAAGGATACTCTTGGTTTTGTAACGTTTTTTCTAAGCCTAATATGGTTTAATCATTGTTGCGCCTTACTTTTCAGTTTTCATTAAAAATGATTGGGCCTTTGTTTTCACATTAAATAAAATAAAGTAAATAAATAACTTATTCCCTAATTTTAAAAGAACTATCAGCCAACTTTAAAATCCCTAATTCTAACCCTAGCCAACATAGCATCATCGCATTTCTTCTTCTCTGCAATTGCAGATTTATAGAGCTCTGTCTCCCCCTCTCTCTTCCTCTCTCGTCAAATCTTTGATGTTGACTCTTCTTCTACGCACGCAGACAGGGGACAAGGCTCATCAACGCGATGAAATTGCAGTGAGACGCCAGAAATTCACAATCTTTGCAGCGATAGTGTTTGAAGTTACAGAATTGCCCAGAGGTCGTCAAGGCCGCCTAGACCACCTAGCCCTCCCAAGTGGCCGTATAGGCGCTACCTAATATTCTAGCCGACTTGTTCAACAATTTTAGTGAAATCGCAGCAATGGCCAGCCATCGAGCGCCTAGGCACTGCCTAGGCCGATTTTTAGAACACTGGGCTCATCACAATAATGTGTTGTTCCCGGTTGACGTCCGTCTCTCTATATGTGTAAGTAGCACTATGTCTCATTTTGCATGTCCGTTTTGATAAAATTCCTAAATGGAGTGTTGTGTATGATAATATGAGCATTGCAGTCATTAATGATGTGCAGATCGTTTTGTGTGAAGCTTATTGTAGTTATTCTAAAGTGCGTTGGACTCTAGGCGAGTGATTTTAATATTATGTGATAAACTACTATGCATATGAAAGAGGTTATATACTTTGTGGATATAGCATGGATTTATAAATATGTTTATTGCCAATCGATAATCTTTTGTTTGAAATGATATATTTAAGTATAATTGATATGATTGCGAATTGAGAAGGCTATGCAAAGGATTAATACCTTGTATATTTCCTTTCTCGTTTCATATATGGATATGAAGTCCCTAGTTTGTTAAATTCCTTTTTGATTCCATGAGAGGTTCTGGAGTCTTGGTTTACTTTCAGTAGGTTCCATGAGTGGTTTTGGAAGCTACTTATGTTCGGTTTCATGAGAGGTTTTGGAACCCTACATCATATCGGATTCCATGAGAGTTTCTAGAATAATACTCTAGTTCTTGAGAGGTTCAAAAACCATGTGCATAGTTTTTGCCAATTCTATGATGTCGGCGTAGCTCTATTATTTCATTATATATATGAAAGAATGATTGAATGCATGTATGGATCAATCATGAAAAGTCGATTGAATGCTTGTGTGAAATGTTTTATAACTTAGATTGACTGACTTTTAAAATCACATATGTTATATTATTATCACTCACACAATTCGCAGCTAATGAGAGTTTTTTCTTTGTCCGGTGCATTATTTCGATGGTTATAGGGTTGTTTCTTGCAAAGTACAGGTAGTGTTTAGTGAAGAAGATTCCAAAGGGTGTAGCTGGTGTGTGTTGTGCACTCAAAAGTATGGTTTGTCAGCCTTTATTGTAATTTTGTTTTCGATGATTATCTGATGTATATTGCGTATGAGTTCCAGTTGACTTTATGTATTATGGTACTGCTACTTTTTACTACCACATGTCGACCAAGGCGTTTTTCGGAATTAAGGTGTGACAATACTTGCAAACAAAAATTTGAAATAGAAGTGATTCAAGTGAATAAGCACTACATGATCACCTTAGGACCCAAAGCAATATGTACAGTATATCCAACAAAACAATCAGGTCAGCTCTAGTGCTATGGTTAAAAAAACAAATCAAGCTCAAAAAGACCAAATTCACCTATTGCGAGACTATAAAAAAAAAAAAAGATAAGTAAAACTCAATTTTACTCTACAAGACTCACATTAATGGGTCAGTATGAAAGTATGAACTCCCATTGTAACATAGTGGATCGGTGTCGCCCGTCAAATTAGATTTAGACTTAGTTATACTAAATATGGCCAAGCAAATGACTATAGAACATCATACGACTTGAATAAAAACTACTCATGATTCGAGAGGTTCAAGCATTTGTGGGATTCAGATTAGAAAATTTGTTGACTTAAAGAAGAAAAATAAATCAAGGATTCAAGAGAAACCTCTGTGCGATCCCCATTTTTTTGCTCAGCCTTCCAATCTATTTCAGTGACTGGGGTATGCTCCTTTCTAAGTTAAATTGAACAGATAATAAGAATTTGGCTAAATGGACTAACAATTTTATGCATTGAAAATGATATCTCGAAATATATAGAAAATGGAATTGCCTAAAAGTACTAGAAGAAGACATTATAAATGATATTTTAGTTGAAATTTTCATTGCTACTTTAATTTTTTATTTTTATTATTTTTTTTTTTTTTGAAAGCTAGGAAATCATATTCCAAGGCTAAGAAGCCAAACAGAGACAAGAAAGCCAACTCCAGGGCGAACACCAAGGAAGACCAACCAAGAAAAAAAAAGCAGTGAAAAGGGCTAAGACCAACAAACACTTCAACCAAGTAAAAGTGTCACCCCAAGCACCACCAAAGCAACCACTAATGAGGACATGGAAGACCATCATTACATAAGACATACACTAACGAAGATGGGGGCCTATCGACCCACACAAAATCACACATCTCTGTAAAACCAGCTGACGTGAGAGCATCCGCCGCCATGTTGGCTGATCTTGGAACCCAAAAGTAGCGGCAATTCTGGAAAGACTCACTCAACCTAAGCGCCCTAGCCAAGAACGGATAAGCCTCCCAACTGCCATTATCAAGAGAACCACGAAGACAAGAAATCGCTTCAAGAGAATTGGACTCAATCATAGCAGAGCTCACACCCACAAATCAGAGCCAAAGCCTCAGCCTGTGGCATTATGAGCCAAAAGAGGGTACCTAGCAGCAGCCAAGAAACGACCGCCCTCATCCCTGATAATCACCCTAGTGAAGCCCAATTGAGACACCTTTGACCAACTAGCATCGACGTTAATCTTCGAGAAATGAGAGGGAGGAGGCTCCACCTCTCAACCGGAACCTCCCTCGCACCCACCACCGGCCTATGAACCTCCAAAACCCTCACCGCACACAAAAAAGAATCCAAAGCAGAAGAGATAGCAAAAAGCATTTTCGAGGGGTTAAGAGAAACCTGATTGAACACCAACTCAGACCTGGCCTTCCAAATACACCAGCAAGTTAAGGCGATATAAGACTGAACCCAAGTCTTATCATGATCAGACCCCAAGTTAGAAGACAGGACTGCCTATAACCACAGCACCCAAGACTAAATACTAGCACCATCAACTCTATAAGTCAGAGCACCACCAAACCAAATAGCCTGC